AGCATAAAAAGCAGCTGAAGTGTCTGCTCATACACCTATGAATGTATTCTTATGTCATTTCAACTGCTTGTGTTTTTTTTTCTCCTGTCTTGCTTTTCTGTTAGAAATATTTAAAGATTGCTCTGAGTTCGGGAGCAAATTGTTTGGAAAATTTGGTGCTAAAACGGGCTCATCTCTTTTCAAGAATGAAGTGACAGGACATATTTTCAGCCCTTCATCAAAAGACTGTCTGGACCCTGAGTTTGGAGATGATTGACAACAGAGACCAGGCATGTAGCTTGTTTACCCATGGAATGTGTTATGGTGTGTATAGAAAAGGTCTAAAAGGGAGCTGAACAGTTCAAATTTTCAGTTTTTGCTTTGGGGAAAAAAAACAACAAAACCCACGAAAACAAAAAAACCCCAACCTCAGTCAGACCACAAAAAAACCCCTCACCTGCCACGGAAAAGTATTTGCTACTTTCTTTAAAATCATTAAAATATGTTCAGAAAATATTAGAGTTACAGTAACACTGGAAAAAAGACGGGAAATAATCAAGCAATTTTATGTCTCCTTCTGTAGACGTGTATATATGACAAATTCTTTCATGCTGTGATTGGATGGTATTTTTAAATTTTTTAAGACCTTGGTTTCTTCAGTGTTAGTGTTTGTCACTGCAATGTGAGGCTGTGAGCAACCTGACATCCAAAGTATCCCACCTCACCAACTGTAGTGACTGAATGGCATCCAGTGATCAGGCCTTAGTTAATCAACTCCTGTGAGAAAGGACAAACTTTAGTCCTTGGTCTCTGATGCCACAGCTGACCATATGAGGCGTCCCATGTCAAAAATCCCCATGGAGCTCCACAAGTCAGTGCTTGTCAGCTCTGTCAGGACACAGAAAGGAAAAAAAGGAAGTTGTCTTATCAGGCGTAAAAAGAAATGTAAGAATGCACACATTTGCTGAAGTTTCAGAAATATTCTTTGTTTTTTGTCTGTATACATATGCATGTAGATATACAGGTGTATGCCTTGTCAGGGACATGCTTAATCCATTGGATGACAAGTACATGTGGTAGTTCTGGCTCCTTTGCTCAGAGCCAGAGGTACAGTCTCCACTCTGGGCATCATATCTTTAGAAATTGCTGGAGGAGGATATGTGGTTCTGTCTGCCTTTGCCATTTCACACAGCATGTGGAAGATGCATTTTCTGGAAAAGGTAGAACAATATGAGTTGAATAGACAAGCTACCAAACACAGAGGTGGTGACTCACCTCACAAACTGCATCTTTCCAATGGCCTCACACCTTATGAACTTTTTTTAATTTATCTTTCAATGGCTGACCACTCATTTGTCCTGTTGACAGGCAGTGGCCACCTGAGAACACTAGCTACTGTTATGGAGAGAAAATGTTACTGAAGAGAAAATGGAGAAAACAGCAAGAAATATAAGACTGCTAGTCTGTCTCTAAACACATAGCTGGATAAATGGTCATTGTGAATCTGTTTGTGCATGAAAATACAGCTATTCTGTTGGTATTAAGCTACTTGATCTATTTCAGCTTCAAAGAAGAACCTAAGGCAAAAAGACATGTTTCATTATATGTGAGAAGGAAATAGGTATTCATAGGCTGTTGACTATTCTTGAACTGAGCATTCTGACTCAGAGGAAATGTCGATGTATAGAGAGGAGCACAGAGCAGATGGAAGCCATTCCTCTACCTGAATCCAGCAATACTTCCAATTATGAAAACACACACAACTATTTGTTTTCAGAAGATTTCAAATGCCCTGTTAGTGCATAGTGGAAACATGTCAGAGTCAAAGGTTTCCCTTGGGTGTCCTATGAAAGAGCTTGAGAAATGTGAAATCTGAGAAACAAAATATTTTTTGGGGGGAAGGTGAGTAATGTAAGGACTGTCCATTGGGCTTTTTATCTACAGGAGAGGTTAGAATTATGTTTTCTGGAAAGCTTACAGATCAAGGTGTTTGTATCTTGGTCTGACAGAACGGTCTTGTAAATGAATCACTCAAGTTTTCACCATGTCTTACAGGGATAAATCTGAATTTTCTCATTTGATGAAGAGCATAAGTAGTATTTCTAAGTAGGCAAAAGTAAGTTTCAGTGGTAGAAAATTCCACAAGTAGAGGCAGAGCCAATGTGTAAGGGTAACCCTAAGAACTGGAGGTGTTATGGGAGATGACAGTAAAGAGTTTTCATTATGATTGAATATTAATTAGTGACATGGCTATTAATGATGACAGTAATTAACAGAGGAAGGAAAGACTTGTCATTGTCCCAAGGGTGAGTAATCAGTCTTGGCAGGTGATAAATAATGGTTCAGCAAACTCAGCAGAAAGATAATCTGTCTGCCTCAGGACAACTGGAGAACAGCTATAACATCTTCCAGGCTCTTGGCAACATTCAGGAATGACTTCATGTTTTTAACAGAGACAAATTAAAATTCCTGATCTTAAGTGCTGCTTGTATTCTGGAGTGGCTGATCACAGGAGTTCTGTTTGAGTACCTTCAGCTTACTTGCCCCTTTAAACTCTTCTTAATGGGCAAGAAAGACTGGGGAACCAGCTTTCAGTGTTACTTGAATTTTATACTGTAGTGTGATGGAAATTGAATAGGTTCCTGAAAAGCGGCCTAGGGCTGGGGACATGATCATTCTGTGTAAAAATGGAGTGGGACTTAATCCTGCATTAAGTATTCCTATGCATCTGGAAAGGGATCATGGAATATGTACTTCACCTCCCTTGAGCAAATCAATGTAACACTCCAAATGTTTTTCAGGTATCAGCTGTTACATCACTTGGCAATACAATGCCTAAGAGGTCACTACAAGCCTGTAACCTGAGACCAAAATCAGGAGAAACAGTGGCCTTTTTATTTTGGAGGATGAACTGAAAATCCAGGAAGGATTCCAGTTTCACTTGAACCAAGACAGTATTTTATGAGGTTGTGTTTTGATTCTAACAATACAGAAGCACTTCAGTTTGAGTCCTCTTGAATTAGTTTTCTAACCACAACTGCTGTGTTCTGCCTTTAAAATAGTTTTGTTTTGTAAAAGGTGAAAGGGAACATTCATGTTTATTAAATAGAATATTTTATTAACAAACTTGTCAAAACAGCAGTTACTGGCTCTGAACATATTCCCCATATGTTATTCAGTTAGCAGTATTCACTAGATATGTTCTCATTTAGCAGATAGTTTTGATCCCCTCATACGTATTTTTCTGAATAAATTTGTTGTTCACGAAAAAATAACGTGACCTCAGGATGCACCTGGCAAGGTGATTTCCGTAGAGACAAGGAAGTGCTGGCACCATTGCCGGAGGCATTGGTTAGGTGTTCTGCAGTTCTGGTGACCTCAGTGCAAAGAAATGGATTTAAATTTGAAAAGTTGCTGAATGGGAAAGTAGAGCGGGACACCATACTGAGAGGCTATTGGAAGAGTATGGTTGATTTAGTGAAATGGAGGTAGGGAGACAAAAGTGTCAGCCCACTGTAGAAACATTCAGGAGAAACTGTCAAGGAAGAAGAATAATTCTTTTCCTTCAATGATAATGCAGGTACGATATAAAATGCATATAAATTGCACATTAACAAACTTAGACTCTGAAGTTACAAGAACAGTTCAATCTATAAAAATATTTAATAAAAAAAATCTTCTGGAATAACTTTCCAAATAGTATAGTGGCAACTGCAATTGCTCCTAGGTGGAAGAGAAGGTGTGGAGAATGACCATATTGCTAAGAATACAAGCTTGGTAGGTTGGTCCTTCAGTGTCTGTTCATTGATACCTTCAAGACAGATTGAGACAATGCCCAGCTGCTGCTTCTTGCTCACATCTGTTTGCCCAGTACTTAAATGAAATCAGATGCTTCTCTTACCATCAGGAGCTCTGCTGATTGTTTGCAGGGAACAGGCAGGTTGTTTTCACTGCCTTGCATGGGGGTTGGGGGAGGTCAGATCCATATCCTGTTTACTGCTGAAGCCTGACTGAAGAGGGTTTACTGGTGCTCCTTGTAGTGTTGTGGGTCTACTTATATTGTCAGGGGAGTGGGAACTGCTATCCCATTCTGTTTGTAGTAGAGTCCATATTTTTGGGGGAATTTCACCTATATGGGAGAATAAGTCAGACCTGCAAATAATTGCAGAGACCTGGGACACTAGCAGTGCCTGTTGTGTCTCTCTGTGGCACATTGTAATTGTGACTCCTGGCCTTTATTTTATTTAAGGTTTGTTGAGGCCATAGGGTAGTCCTGTCCACATCTGAGCTCAGAAGTGCTCCATGCAAATAAGTTCCTCTGGGATTTATTTAGTAAACCTGAACCATAGCAAGTTTGCAGACAACACAAAACTGGGAGGAGCTGTTGACTCCCTTGAAGGCAGGGGAGGCCCTTGACAAATTAGAGGGCTTACCATTCACCAACCATATTTAGTTCAATCAAGGGAAAGTGCTGGATTCTGCACCTGGGATGGGGCAACCCTGGATGTACATACAGTCAGGGGAATGAGGTGTTGGAAAGCAGTGCCATGGAAAGGGACTTGGGGGTCCTGGTCGATGGCAAGTTGAACAGGAGTCGGCAGTGCCCTGGCAGCCAGGAGGGCCAACTGTGTCCTGGGGGGCATCGGGCAAAGCATCACCAGCTGAGTGAGAGAGGGCATTGTCCCGCTCTGCTCTGCACTGCAGCAGCCTCACCTTGAATATTGTGTGCAGTTTTAAGCACCACAATGTAAGAAGGATGCAAAGCTCTTAGAGAGCATCCACAGAGGGACAACAAAGATGGTGAAGAACCTTGGGAGGAAGCCATATGAGGAGTGACTGTAGTCACTTGGTCTGCTCAGCCTGGAGAAGAGGAGACTGAGGGAAGACCTCATTGCAGTCTAAAACTTCCTCATGAGGGGAATCAGAGGGACAGGCACTGATCTCTTCTATGTGGTGACCAATGACAGGACCCTGTGGTCTTGGTGTTTAATGCTTTCTTCTTTGTTTGTTCGTTTGTTAAGGTTCTGATATTGTGCAGTGGCTTATGAAGAACCTCAGCATTGAGGATACAGGTAAGGTGACCACAGCTGAGGAGGAGCAGGTACTCCATCTATATTGTGTGTGCTATTAGACAATAATTACTATTTTGCTGCAGTATATAATACCAGTAAAACAACACAGTTGATTTAAGCATTGCAGAGAAGGAAGAGGGAAAGAGTTAAGACTCAACATCTTAATTAAGTCTACATTGCAGCACAGAGAAATCCCATTGCAGGAGTTCTAGCTTGTCTGTGAAACTGTTGCTACCTTGGGAAGACTGATTGATTTTAAGTTTGTTCCCAGACTTAGAAAGGAAGTTGGTGTATGTGTGTGGTTAAGCAGGCAAATGCAGTAGCAGGTTTTCATGGTGAGAAGAAAGGGAGCCATGACTGACAAGACATACTGGCCAAAGATGACACAGACACCGTCATGAGATCAGGTGACAGCCTCCAATTTATTGCAGCAGATAGGTAAGACAACGGATAGATAAATGGATAATCAGCCATAAAGAGTGATCAGTGCATGGGCACAGTCCAAATAGTTCACTTTTCAGAGAAACAATTTTGGCAGAGTTATGATCCATTGAGAAAAGAGGGAAAACAGATCCAGAAGTTTCTTTTTCTTTTCAGGAAAGGGAAAAAATCCAGAATGTCACCTACCAGTTTTTTTGCTGCCTTACTGTCGCCACGTGAAAGAGACAGAGAGTGTTGTATCATCCAGCAGGGCATCCCTATAAACACATTCCTTCTTATGAGTCCTGTTAGGTCCCAAATACGCAGACAATAGGTTTATTATCTACCTGAGCAGCTGATTGTATTTTTCAGTTCTGAGAAAGTTGATGCAGCTTTTGACAGCTGGCATTGGTTGAAAATCTGTGCAGCTGTGCCTCTGTGCTGGTGAAGTTTGCCCTGACAGCACTAGGAAATGTACTCCCCTTTGCCTCTGCACCATTTTTTCTCTAACAAGTGGCAATGCTACAGTGTCAGGATGTGTCGTTATGAATAAATATCCTGCTAATGACCTGATGTTGCAGGTGTCTCTTGGATTTGGTAGAGGCAAGGGAGGTTCACTCATGGAACAGGCTTCTTGTCAGCTGTCACCTGTGGTGGATAATGTGCTTTGAAATTAATTTCATGTTCTAGAGCTGAACTAGTGTGTGACATTTTGTGAACACAAAACAAGCAGGTTAAACTTTTGAGTGGTGCTTCATCTGTACTGTACAGCTGAATTCTGCACTCCTGCTTTGCATGGTTTGGTTGGAAGTAGTAAGAATGGGGTGTGGGTGCAGAGAGGCACGTGGGCACCAGATTTCACGAGTCATCACCAGAGTTGCTGTTGGAAGCAGAGAAATGTGCAGTGCACGTCTTCCTGACACATCCCTACGGTTTTCTCTCTTTCACAGGGGAAGCAATACACTTGGGAAGTCTCATCGCTGCACAAGGTTATGTCTTTCCAATCTCAGACCATGTCCTTACCCTGAAAGATGATGGGACGTTCTATCGTTTTCAGGTTGGTGAGCCCTCTGACTCCCTTGTGGTCCCTTCCACTGTCCCTGAGGTAATTCAGCTGAAATCACCCACCCTTTATTCCTGAGCAGCCACTAGGTCTCTTGAGCCTATCTTGGTACAGGCCTTAGGAAGTTATGAAGTCTTTTCAGAAAGATCTGCTTTAGAATCCCAAATTACACTCTTCTACTTTCTTACCTACAATTTTTACATAAATTAATGGGTTTGTCCTGTGCTTATTTTTGATATGTTATTTCAGGGCTGTTGTACTCAGATTTGAACTAAGCCAGAAGAAAGAAAATGACTTTCAGGCTCTAACTCTGGCACAGAATTGAGTAGCCATTCTTCTGTGCAAAATACACTAAAGCAAATTAGGAGTTGGACATCCAAGCTTTGGCACAGCAGAAAATTCAAAGTCTTACCCTCTCTTGCTTGCAGATTGGTGTGGGAGGGGGCAAGCTTCAGTCTTTGGCTCTTTTACAAAAGATGTGTAACCTTGGCAGTCACCTAAACTGGGACATCTGTATCACTCAGTGTCCCTGTGCCTCCAGATGTGCTGAATTTTTAAAGCATCCTGTGCTTGAGTTCTATGCCCTGTCCAAAGTCTGCCACTGTCAGCTTCTTAGATAACTGAGTGCTTGTGCTGCAACAACTCCTTTTGGACAGATTGTATAACTGTAGAAGTGGTAAGTCCAAACCTGGAGTCCTACTGCCTAATCCTGCTGTCTGTATTTGTGCTTTTCTGTTACATGATCTCAGACAGATCCCTTTTCTTTCCTGTGACCTCTTTTCTGTTCACCCTGCTGTTCTTCCTTTACATTTTTTTCCTCCTTTTTAGCTTTTATTTGAAAAGCTGGTCCTGCACTTTGCATCTGATGTTGCTGCTGCTTGTTCTCACTGTCCTACTAATGTGGTATTGTGTTATCATGTGACAAATATCATGGTGAACCAAGAAGCCCAGGAGATCACAGACTTCCTCTTATCTCACCCCGCCTTCTGCTTACCACACATCATTCAGACACATATTTTTCATTACAATTCCTTTCCTTTTAGAAATGTCCTGCTTTCCTGTTGTGTTAGATGTGACAGAAGCAGGGGCAATACTGATTGCCCATTTAGCTGTATTTTTCTCTTTCTTAAAAGGATGACACTGTAAGAAGTTTTCCTGTGCAGCTCTTAGGAGCTACATTTTAATATAATTTAATTTCCTTTTCTTGTTTTAAGTCTGTGTAAACCACATCATCAAACTGACTGCTTGTTGACTTTTTTCCTTATCTTTTCTTACAACTTTTGCATATTCCTTGCTTGTTGTCATTTCCTGCAACAGACGTCCTCAGATGTTTTCTGCAAAAATAACCTGATAGAATCATGTTTCCTTTCCATTACTCTTGTCTTGCTGCTTTTTACCTCAACATTAGTCCCTGCTTTAACAGTAGCTTTTCATATTCTGAAGTTCATAAGATGTATATAATTGAGAAGCATTAAACCGCATATTGTTTGAATACTCTGTTTTCTCACTGTACTTTGGTGCAAGAAATAGTCTCTGTGTTAATGTCCTGTGCCCATTTGTGGCGTTACATCAGCAATGCAAAGCAGTGTTCTGTAATTTGTGTGATCACCAGGACATTATTTTTCATTTATGTTAAATCTGAAATACAGCCACATACAGTAATATCTTGTGATTAATTGTAGCAATGGCAATAAGCAGACCTGGATAGAAAACAAAAGCAGTAAGCTTAGCAGGACTTCTGCTTTTGGGATGACTCTAAACAGCTAAGTTTTGACCTCTGCCATCTGCTATAATTAAAAAGTAAATTGTTTTTTAGTCTGCCAGCCACACTGGTAGCTGCTCCAAAAAAGCAAGTGCTATGTAGCATATAGGTAAGGCCATGAGGTTTGCCATGCTTTAAAAAGAAATAAAAACTCAGAATGTGAATTTCTGGGGAAAGATAGAGGATAGAGGATAAGAGGTCCACATTGAGCTGGCAACAGTGTCTAAAATTTCATCAGGACACTGGACATTCTCCTGAAGAGATGCTTGTATTACAGCATCTCTATTTACCTGCAGTGAGGAATGTTAAAGGCCATACCTTTCTGGCAAAGCATCCTCACTAATACTGAGATCTGCAGCAGTGTTTTCCCCTGAGGGCAGAGACTGGGTGGTAGACTTTGTGATTCTTCTTTTTGTACTTGTAATGTTTTTCTGCATTTGAATTGCTTTTCATCTCTTAAATTATAAAAATGTTTATGTTTTTTCTTAGGCACCATACTTTTGGCCCTCAAATTGCTGGGAACCAGAAAACACAGATTACGGTGAGTATAATCATTTCACTGTAGAAAATTAGTACAGAAAGTTTGTGATGAGAAAAAATGTCCTCTAAAATAATTACTGTTTGCCATCTAAATCCTTCATCCATGTAGTTGTCAGATGGCAGCATTAGAGGCAGATATGTGCCCATCTCAAATACATGAATTGAAATCCTGGAGTGTCTCAAGCCCATGGAGCTGTAGCCATCGAGCTCAGTGGGGCCAGAGTTTTACCTATTGTTGCCTTCATTCTCCCACAGCTCTGTGCATTTCAACAGGATTTTTGGCAAGCAGAATAGTGGTTCTTGGGAATCTTAAATAATACCAATATTGCTTTTGTGAGAGAGTATAACTGATCTGTAGCTGAATCTGATGTGTTCATCAATAAAATCTGGGCACTCATCTCACTGCTCAATAAACCAGTACGTAACCATTGGTGACCCATAGTTAAAATAGTTAAAAGTTCTCTGATATATGACATCGGACTTATTTTTCCAAATTTTTTAAGATTAGCAGATGATAGGGTAAAAGAGAAGACTGAACATGGTTTATGAGCTAATAAACTGCAACATGGTGTGTTAAGCATGTGAGTGCCTGCAGACAGTGATAATACATAAAGAAAATATGTCAGCATTGTTATCTTTAGCTGTCTGCATGCAATATTGCTGTCTCTTCTAGGACTCCACTACTTTCACAGTTAAATGATAAAATTAATTATTGTATCCTGGTGTGGCTTTGGAAGAGGAAGTGTATCCATGTGTGCACTCATAAAACAAGAGCTTCTGGAAGTCCTTCTTTTATCTCATTACCTAAGATTGGTTTAGAACGCCTCCCTGAATAATCAGTTTGGTTTTTTTCTTTCCTGGGTTATAATTAATCATCATTATGGATTCTGGAAATCGTTTGCTGGGGAAAGAAGTAGCCTGCTATGGTGTGTGTCATATGATATTTCATTTGCAGTCCTCATCTGCAGGGAAGCTAGCACAGACTTACATGTTTATCCCAGTGAGGGAACTGCTTTGGACAAAACATGATGCTGTTCAGTATATGCAAAATAATTTCCAGATTTTACAGTCATCGTATATTGCTGTGTGAACTGTGCCAAATACGTATTCTGTAAATACTGGAATAATGATGTGAAAAGGGAAGTTTCTTTTTTCCCCTGCAATATCAGATAAATAATCCTTTTTGCAGTCAGATTATTGTGCTGCAGTGGTATTGAGTGGAGCAGTACACCCCAAAATAAAGCCCTATATGAGCTGACCCGCAGCTGGACAAGCTTCAACTGCATTAGCTCTGAGTCCTGTAGTATCAGATTTGCATCTGTCCCAGAAACCTCTAACATATGCTTATAATCAGACTTTGCATATCAGAGGTCTGTACAGATGGAGTCTTCACAGGAATTAATCCCAAACTAGCAGTGGACCCAAATAAAACTGAAATCCCAGCAGCACTTCATACTTTTTTTTATTTGCATGTGTCCACTTACAGTACAGAAACTAGCTTGTTAATGGCAGGTCACTGCCTGGTATGAAACAATACTGTGAAACGACTGACTCTACTTTATTTGGTGTTGTAAAGGGCTTACAGCAAAAACTGCCCTTGAGATGTATAAATATAAATGAACTGGTTGGCTCTGGTTACCATGCATAATATTGGCTCACTGTATGAATGTTAAAATGATAGAAATAGCATAGAATAGAATTACGTGAGTAGCACTAGGTCTCTATTGTATAGTTGAGACCTAACTATATACCCAGGGTGTGCTGTGGGCCTCGTGTTTCAGCCTGTAATGCAAGTGGAGTGAGTTTAGCAGATCCAGGTGAGGCTTTCCCAGAAGGCAACCTGGGGCTGGTTTGGTCTTGTGCACTTGGGCTCATCTTGACTCTCAAAATCCCAAACCACATGAGTTTCAGCAGCATCTACCTGTGGTGAAACGTGACAAGGCTTCTCTTAACCGTTTGAAATGTGCAGAGTAAGTGGATGGAGCATATTAAAAAATGCCAGTATATACCTTTAAGGTCTGGCCCATATTTATGTTTTCATTTCAGTGTCCTTTATTCTTATTTTTATTTTTTTCTTACAACAGCGGAAAAGAAGTGCAGGCATATTCCCAAAGTCCTGAGAGGAACAGGTTACTAATTCTGTATCTTTTACGAGCCCTAGAAGCAACTGTGCCTTTTTTGGACATCTTGTTAGGTCCTGGCATCTGCTCTCAGCACTTTTAAATGAGATGTCCAAGATGTTTAGGGCCTCTGAGATTACTAGTGGGTGATGTTAGCTGGGTGTTCAGCCTTCTAATTCCTTGACTCGTGTTGCTTTCTGATGAAACTGAACAATCTATGGACCACTTTTTTCCTTCTTTTTTTATAAGATCTAGTACTAATAATCTGTCTGTAATTGTTTTCCGTTCTGTTTCTCCCTTTAGCCATCTATCTTTGCAAACGGACCATGCAGAACAAAGCTAGGCTGGAGCTGGCGGATTATGAAGCCGTAGGTACACTGCTGCTAGAATTTAAAACTGGGGGTTGCAGGGATGGCTTTGCTTGCCAATTGAATGCTGCCATTTTGTGCTTTGGGGTCAGCCTTTACTGTGTCTTTTTCTTAGTTGACAGAATTGTGTGAAGGTTGATACAGAGACACCATCAGGAACATGATTGATGAACATCCCCAGCTTTGCAGTGTCTCAAATAAAAGCATCTGCTGTATAGCCAGCCTTCCAAGATGGGGGAAATTACACAGAAGTTTAACTTGGTGTCCTGTTTCTGGTTAAGAAATCCTGGTTTATACAGCAGATTTTAACACATGGAAATGATGGATTTTCAGTTGCACCATTGGCCAATTAAATTGTTCATGACCCATATAGTTACAAAAGTTTTCAGATATTAGACTTGGAATGTTTTCAATATGCCATATAAAAAAAATTACTCAGGCTTATTCAGAATGTGTTCTCTAATATGAAATTATTATCAATAAAAATATCCCAAACCTCTGTGTCAGACTGCGCGGGGGGTTGGGCAGAGAGGAGTGGGAAGATGCAGACAGGAGGGGCTGGGGCTGTGTATTTCTTTGAACACGAGTAGCGTAACACTGAGCAGCTAAACTTTTTGTTCTATCATATTGACATTTTTCCTGTTTACTAGCTCAACAGTGTAACAGCTGAAATTCATATTTGGAGTTTTTCATTGGAGGGTTTGTTTACAAAGCTGGTTCTAGTGGACTTCTATGGTCATATTTCTTACAGTGAAAACATATAGCATATATCTTAAGAGTGGACTTTTTCCGAAGAATGGAGTTTTTCTTTATTCCTTGCCCTCTACATTTTGGGACTTTTATGCGCGTAGAGAGACATACACATGCCATTTGGTTCTTTCAGTGCAGAGCATGCAAAAATTGCCACTTATCTAGTCCACCCTGGAAGTGCATCCAGAGTTCCCAAGAGTTCTAATCTTGAACAGGCATAAAGGAAGGAATATAATAACCTGCTTGCACTTACATGTCCTTTTGCTGAGTTTTCTCTTCTGCATATTACTGATTTCATTATTAAAATCATTAAAATTGCTCACATCCAACCAATTAACTCTAAGTGCTCTAAAGATCTATCATAAGGCAACAAAAGGCTGTTCAGTGGTGCACATACTCCCACACACATGCAGCGAGGCTATGGCTAAGTACTTTTGCACATTGTTGCCTACTGAGAGTAGCAGTACTCCAGTGATGGTAAATAATTAGATCTTGGCAGCCTCTCATTTTTCTTGTGAATATTGCATTGCACAATTAGAGATTACTTCTGCATTCAAACTTTGTTCTCTTAATTAGAGACATTCAGATAAGAATGGCACCGACTCTTCCTATTCATTATGGGAGCTGAAGCACATCCAGCAATGGAGATGTAAGCTAAGCACAATTGAGAGAAACAAGCTTGCAGGAGTGAGAAGCAGCCCTGTACATTTAGTACACATTTTTGGAGATGCAGCATGAAGATGCTTCTCCGTAGGTATCAGCAATGACCTGGAGCTTTGAAAGAGAATCTCTACAAAGCATCTCAGGGGACATCTCATTTTTAGGTTCTGCTTGCAGCATTTATAGGAAACCCCCCACCCCCATTTATACTGGATAGAACAGGGGTTTTGTTTATAATTGGTCAAACATAAACCTGATACAAATATTGCTTCAATTGGTGATGTTTCATTGGCTTCAGCATATTTACTCCAGGGAGCTCATGTGAACAAAATTTAAAACAAAATTAAAAAAAAAACCCACCCACAAAAATTGATGTTATAGATAATTACAAGTAGTTCTTCCTTGTAGCCACAGTTAAGGAAATCATCATAGTTCAGCACAGCTGTAAATCATTTACTTAACTGTTTTCCTCCATGTGTACAGACTGGAACTGTTACATGGCTTTTGTGGTAACAGGGCCTAGCTTTATGCCTTGTGTTATACAAGAGTTTAAAGTAAATAATAGGAAGATTTCTTTTTGTATTGAAATGCATGTGCCTAAGCAGTTTCTTGAAATAAAGTGTTAAGTATGAAAAGAACAACAGCAGCACTACAAGTGTTCCATTTCAGTGTAAATTTGCAATAGTTAAACCAGCTGTAATGGAGAAGAGTGTCAGGTTAATGGTTTCACAGGGCTCCTTGTTGGGGTGGGTGTGGATATGTGAACTCAGGGTGCCATTTAAGCGTGAAATTCTGGCCATGCCCTGAGTTTAACCTTGAACTGTGACAAAGTCATATCCACATCCAAGTGTTCAGATCACTACACTCTCTGTAATGGGTCTGGACCAGAGCTCTTACCTCAGATGTAAAGCAAGACTGCATGTGGACCCAGTCTTTGTGGTAACTGTGTTCACTATTCAGTCAAACAAGCTGTTTCCTTTTGTGAATGATGCTGACAGTCCCCAGCCTTCAGTGCTGTGCTGCTGTGTAATGCTCTCAGCAGTGACCAGGACTGAGCAAGGGATGCTCAGGCTTTGCACCTTAACAAAAGCCTGAAGAGAAGAGAGCAGTGGGGTGAGGAAGGGAAAGTGAGGATGAGACGGAAATGTGCAGGTGGCAGCCATCTGCTATCAGAAATGAAAAGTTGTCAGCTTCACAAAGCTGCTCAGTGTTATCTTTTGGGAACAAGTCCATTTTTTTCATAGTAGAGCTCAAACTGTCTTCATCACACTCCATTAGTTATCCCTGACAGGGTCCTTTGGACTGCAGCCCGAAAAGATACGTTACAGCCTTGCTTGGCCTGCAAGTAGCTCACCTGAAACCAACACTGACTTCCATGTCTTAAGTGTTACAGCTTAAAAAAAAAAAAGAATAAAATAAATACCCACCATGCTAACTGTGCTCTCAAGTAATTGTTGTAATCACAGAGATTTGTTGTTCTTACTATTTTCATATTTTGTCAGGAAAACTTAGCAAGACTTCAGAGAGCATTTGCAAGAAAGTGGGAATTCATCTTCATGCAAGCAGAGGCCCAAGTGAAGTGAGTAATCCCAGAGCACTGAACTGCACCAGTATTTAGAGCTGTGAAGGGAAGGGGATTCTGTACAAATAAAATTTCTTTGTCAAAATCTTTACTGTGACTAAGCTCAGAAGGTGTTTGTGAATTTTAATCACTGGCAGAGTGGAAAGAGTAGAGAGCCAATTCTGAAGGTCTGTGCCAGAATCTTAAATGTGGTTTAATTATCTGTACATGTAAATGTTGGTCAGGAGCTCCCAGGCTTGGATTCATCATGGGAGCTTGGGCTGTTCATGTGCCCATTCTGCTTCTACATTTGTATAGTATTTTTGTTTTGTATAAATGGAAAGAACAGAATTTTGTCATCTGTCTGTGTTACTCTACGCTTGTAGGATATTTCTGAGTCAAAAATTACTGTCACTTCAGTGTGATTATAAGGGTGATATTTACAGCAGACTGAATTTGATTTTCTCATTTATAGTAATCCCTAGTTGGCTCTGTTGTATCTTTACTCTGTAGTTCAACTCTTGCTACTAAATTAGCATAGAGAATTGGGTACCACTTACATGAAACTTACTCATATTTAGTATTGGGGTTTTTCCTATCCTCTGCTCATAATTGAAATTTACTTTTCTTCTCATCTTCCCTTATGGAAGCAGTTTGAAGCCTCTTAGTAATTTGCACATATTTTTATTATTGCTGGAAAATGGGTATGGTCCAGGGTTTGCCTACTAGTGTCAACAAACTAGTACCTAAAACTCCCGAGTGTCCATTTTGTGCATGTAGTTGTCACCTATAAAATGGAAGGGCTGGTGAAGATGGCACGTGAGAACACCAGTACTGACTCTCTGTACCACTGGAAGGAATTTGCACTTCCAGCATTAGATGCTAGAAAGTTAAGGAATATAATTTCTTGAGGGTGTGGCTTGAGGTATACATCTCTATCTTTGATTAAACTTTTGGAATTTTGATTAATTCTTTGCTTAGTAACATTATAATTGTGTACCATTTAAATACATGATAGTTATCTTTTAAATTACAAGGTAGTTAAGGGATTTTTTTCAACCAGAATACCAGTGTTCTGTTTGGAAGAGAAAATTAGAAGTTTTGATAGCAATTGTACTTTCAGTTGTTTAAAGGCTATTGCCAAGATGAAAATTCTTAAGTCAAGGCGAAATTCTGCATTCTGTCTAAAACATATAATTATTAGCTAAGAAAGAAATGTAAATATCAGATTCTTTGTGATCACCGTTGCTTATTCATCTTTTCTCCATCCTATTTTCTTTGAAACATAAGTGTGAACTGGCAACTATCAACTTTTTTTGCTGGCTAGTTTCAGCTTCTTGGTTTCCAGTTCATGTCACGGTTCAGTCTTCAGGTTTCCAAAAAGGAAGGGGTGGAGTTCACAGTGAATTCACAGCCCTAAGTTAACTAAAAAAGAAAAAAAATAGTAACAAAACAAAAAAAACCTGAAAACATTCCTCCTGCTTACCAACTTTTGCATTGCCTTCAATGTCTTTGTTTGCACACATATTCCCACTGCTATACCTAGATTGCTCAAAAACCACAGCCACAGAACATCTAGCTGTTTTGGGTCTTCATAGTTTAAAATGTGAAATACTGAGTTATCAGTAAGTTTGGATATAAGAGTTGACAGTCTGGGTTGAGCACAAAGTACCAGTGAATTGAATTCATGAAGAGAATTCATGAAGCCTCCGAAGAGTCCCTGCAGTTTGTATGTACTGTGTGATTTAAGGCTGGCAGAAGACTTCACCTTCTCCTTCGGCCAGGTGTGAGGGACTCACTCAGAAGAAGTAGTTTTGGGCTGGGTATCCTCAGTGCAGTACAACGACTGCTGTCTGGTGGCTGCTCTGTCTCTGTGAGAGGACAGAGAGCTTGTGCAGAACTTTTTTCTCACCTCAGCCTTGCAAAGGGGTAATTCAGCGAGTGATGCCAAACTGTGGAGGACTTGGGCTCTCTTTGTGGGGAGTAGTATTCAGAAACATCAGTTTTAGTCCCCTGCTTCCTATCCTCTTGATACATTTCTAGCACAGACTTAGCTAAGGGTCACTGCCCCTCCAGAAACAAAACAGGTGGGAGAGAACCTGGTGGCAGCTGGCGTGGGTTTTTTTCCTCACTGCTTTGATTTTCCTGGGTGGCAGCAATCTGGCAACCCAGCACAGGGATGCTGTGAGCTTTTCTCAATCCTGCTCTGGAAGTGGAGGCTGTTCCTTCTTCCATGTGCTTCCTCCAAGTCTCTATGCAGGTAGATCGTGCAAGCTGGTGGTGACTTTGCTGTGCTCGTGTTTAGAGCTGCACACAGAAGTGAGGTGCCAAATGTGACTTGCTCACTGCTGCCAAGAGATAGGGAAACAGTTGCTGTGAACAATTTCTTGTGGCCTTTGAGTGAGTTGATTCACTGGCTGCATAAGGACTGAAACTACCGAATTACTGTTGTGCCAGCCCAGGCGTGTCTCTCTTGGGTGGGTGCTGGCTTGCACAGGCCATGCAGCAAGCTCAGCTCTGGTCACCTGTGCTTGTCACCCCTTGCTCTGCCAGTACTGGGGTACACAGGCAAAGCCAGTCTTTGTGTTGAAAGCTCTAAGGAGGAGTGGCCACAAGTGCTAACCATGTTGTTGCTGCTGGGCATTCCACTGCTGCAGCATCCTCTGCAGTTTGTAGTCATGCCAGTGGTGCTGCTGGGGCACCAGGGTGCAATGGGGTCTCCTGATGAGGACCTCAGTCCAGCACCAGCCAAGAGCCTCACCTGGAGCAAACAGGTTCTGGTGGGTCTCCTCACACAGACAAAGCCACAAACTTCTCTAACCTGTCAAATCAAGCTAGAGAACTCTGGGAACAGAGTATCAGGAAAGATTGTTTTCCTCAACAGATGAAAAAACAGGTGTTAAATTTTTGACATTAACAGGAGAATCTCTTTTGACCCATATTGGAGTAAACATCAGCATTATTTTGTTCATGGCTTGTGGCCTTGCAAGTGCGAGCGTGACATTGCTGTACAAAAAAAAAAAGCTGAATTCCTGAATTTTTTTTGTCACGGAGTTAAAATCCCCATCTAGGAACTGTATCAAAGAGGAAAGTATGACTACTACATTGATTCATACATTTATGCTTTTTTTTTCAGAATTGACAGGAAAAAGGATAAAACGGAAAGAAAGATTTTGGACAGCCAGGAAAGAGCATTCTGGGATGTGCACAGGCCTGTGGTAAAGCTCTTTTAAATGTTGAGACTTTCCAGGTTTTGACAGGAAAGTTTTAATACTAGTAAACACTGTGGTATGCACGAAGACATCGCCTTTAAAGTCACCACGTGGATTTTCCTCGCAGTTCAAAACACACCAAATGTCTACAAGATTATTTTAGACATTCTGGGCTTGTGCATGTATGAAACTATTGATTTGGAAATACATGAAGTTTGGAAAATTATTTACTGTGCTTATGAAAGAAAAGCAGCTTACCCAGTTTGGCTCAGACTTCCTAAAAAAAAAGCTCCCCTCTTAGCTATTTCCTTTCAGTGCCAAGGTTAGGAGTAAAGTGGATTGGATGCAGAGATGGCAGCCTTGGGTATGTGCAGTCTCTTATTCAGCAAGAATAATATATGGGACACAAACCTCAGAAAACAGTTTTAGACAAGATCTAATTGTGTATTTTAGAAAGATAAGGTAGCATGAAGGTTGTAAACAGAGGAGTAACACAATTACCATCTCTTTGCAGCCAGGTTGTGTGAACACCACAGAAATGGACATTAGAAAGTGTCGCCGTATGAAAAATCCACAGAAAGTGAAAAAGGTCAGTTTGAGTTCTTGGTTTTGGTTTTTGCTTGTTTGGGGTTTTTTTGATTCATTGGTTTTGGTTATGTTTTAATATAAGTCATACTTGACATCTACAGTATATCAGATTTACCCAACAGGAACCCCAAAAAAAAGTGTTTTGATAATATCAGTTGTATTTGTTTTACTTTATGAATATATTATTCCAGTTTTACCAGCAGAGTGGTATAGACTGGGTGATGGGTAGAACTGAAAAGGGCATTAAGGAACTCTGTGTCTGCGATGTCTGATGACTCTGCGCTCCCATAAAATTAAAAGCAATTGGCAAAAATACCTAAGTCCCATTTTCTGAAATTATCTGGGCACAGATAATGAACTGTTTACCTGCCTTAATCATTTCAAAGGCTGGATCACTAGCAACTTGAGTGTCTTTGACTTCCAGCAAATTTAAGTTCTTCTGTATATGTAAAGTCATAGAATCATTTAGGTTGAAGAAGATCTTTAAGATCAGTGACTCAAAACCTTAACCCAGCTCTGCCAAGTCCACCACTAAACCACGTCCCTAAGCACCACATCTACATCTCTGAAATACCTCCAGGAATATTGACTCAACAGGGCAGCCTATTCTAGTGCTTGATAACCCTTTCAATGAAGACATTTTTCTAGATACCCAATTTAAACATCCCCTGGCGCAACTTAGCCCTTTTCCTATTACTTCCTTTTGTCACTTGGTTCATCACAATGAACATACTCCCAGTGTTTGTCCTGCAAGTGTTGACACACACAGCCTTTGGAGCTCCTAAAAATTATCAGTATTTTAACATTTAAAACAAACTCTTTTCTCAACATGCCTACAGGCATCTGCAAGTGTGGTCTGATCTGTAAATTTTGCTCCAGGCTGGATGATTATTGACCTGTGTGGGTATAAACAGTAGGAAATCGCTGGCTTATTACTGCTTTGCATATTGCACCGTTCCTCACTGCATAACAGAGAAAAATGCTGTAATCCCTTCTGTATGTTTATTGGTTCCTCACAGTCGGTGTATGGGGTTACAGAGGAGTCTCAGCCCCAAAGCCCTGTACACATGCCCTCCCAGCCGGTACGCAAAACTACAAAGGAAGACTTCCGGAAGCAAGTAAGTAGGTGGCTGTATGGCAACTCTTCTGAGAACTGTTACCTGGGAAAAAAGCATATAAAATTATGGAGATATCAGCAAAACCAACCGTATGCTTTACCTGTCCTTGATTTTCACTTATGTAAAGTAATAAGTATCCATTGAGCAGTGCAGTTCTGTGATGATATGTATTATGAGTAATACTGACCTTTGAATCTACTGTTACTCTGTCTGTGGACCAGTAGACAGATTAGTTTCCAGTTCACTGAGGATGTCTGAAAAGTGAGCAGTGACAAAGGCTAGGGAAGAAGCCAGCATGGTTAGGCACAGGCTTGGAACTGGTGGTGAGGAAAGGCATCGTTCAGAGCATAACTATTAGACTGTACAGTCAGAGCTTTTAGCAAACTGGGAAAAAGTTACTTGCACAATCATGCCAAAGAATGGCCAACCAGCTCACACATCCTTGCCCTGGCACAGAGAGCTCTCCCTCAGAATTACTTTCCTTCAATAAGCAGTCTTCACTGAAGGATAAACAGGAATTACTGGGTCAACATTTTAGTAAAGCCAGCTTTAAACATGTTTATTAGGCAAACAGTTTTCAGGTGGTCTTCTGAACTAAACCAGAACACTAAATTTATTGAGCTTTTTTCTATCATAGACTGAAGAACTAGTTCATAGCAGAGTGCAAGTGTGCTATAAAACTGATTGCGTGGTGCTGGTCAGTTAGAGAAATGGGAGAGAGGAGTGTGATTGTAACAAAGGGATCATATTGCACCCTGAGTAGTCTAGGAACCTCAGCCCCAAATATGTGTATTTCCTACTTTTAATTATGTCTTCTGAAGCTTCCCCTGGAGCTTTGCCTTTGGAAATAGAGACTCCTATAGGAAGCAGTTAATAAGCTGCTTGTGATACCTAAGGAAGGGTCCCATTTCCTTCTGAGTTACTTTCAAGCTTTTGGAAAGAAAAATCAATAGCATGTTAGTATACTGTCAATGCTTGCTGTAGAACTCATGGATTGTTAATGTCCTTGTCAACTCTCTCCTCAGATCATTTTTCTGAATATGCAGATAGAGAGACATTGTTTAAAGATGTCCAAAGTAGCAGAAAGGTGAGTGTCCCCATCTGCACGATTTTCCTTTCTTTCCCTATCTCCAGTGTGGCATTTCTAGAGACAGAGAGCGGGCAGGGAAGTGCAAAGGCTGATCCTCTTTCTGTGCATCCATCCTCTCCCCTTCTTGACCTGCTGTGCTGCCTTGCCTGTCTGCTGGCCACTGAAACTTTTGCACATGCTCCTCTGCTGCTGCAGAAAACTAGATGGAAATGAGGATGCTGTCATATTGCAAAAAAAACAAAAGAAACATTCAAAAAAAAAAGAACCCTTGCAGGACTTTTGTTTCTCACCCCTTTGCAACTCTAGAGTTTATTTTTAGAAAAGTCATTCCTATTTTAATATGAAAGTATCCTTTATTTTGTGGGGTAACTCTCAGTGCTTATCTCTTCTTAGTCTGGCACAGCTGTGGAGAAGGAGCTGTGTTTGCATCTGTGGCACGTGGCTGTTCATGTCTGTGTTCATACTGGGCTTGTAGGGCCAGTTCCTCCTCCCATTTTCACATATATGAAACCCTATGAGAAGTACCTGGACTTCTCAAGACAGTGTTTTAAGAGGTGGATTTCTCAGAGGCAAATCAAGGCACAGTTTGACTTGCAGGATATTTAATTCTGGTAGAAAAGTATAAATAGGTGAAGAACAAGCTCAAATTGGATTGAGAAAGGCAGCTTCTTTACTTAGGTACTTGTAAGTTATGCACATTTGCTAGGGAATCACTGAGATGAAGGTAGGGATAGGCATGCTCTTCAGTGACATCGCTTTTTAAGCAAAACTGTGTTGAACATGAGGGATGTGATAAGAGCTGGTTCCTACTAGAGGAATAATAGAGGAATTTTTATTTAAGTGAATTAAAAAGAGATTACTCTATGAAATGTGCTTTGCAGTGCCTGCACCTGTAGTTAGCATGTGTGTACTAAACTAAGTAAATTAAACAGTGGAAGCCCACCTAAGCTCCTAATGGCTCATAAAGTTTCGCAATTATAATGAAAATTTATCCAATTAAATGGAAAATATTCAGAGGCTCCCTGAAATCCTTCATATGCTATACTGTATGATTGAAATGAGCACACTTTTATTTATGTTTTGGGAGTTTGGATCTTTTTAATTAAGAACATACATTTGTGCTTTAACAAAAAATGTTTCAGATATTCACAGAATATTTTGAGTTCAGAGGGACCCAGAAAGATTACCAAGTCCATCTCTTAAGTGAATGGCCCATATGGGGATTTAATCCACAACCTTGGCATTACTAGCACCGTGCTCTAACCAACTGAGCCAACCCACTCCCCCAAGTTCTGAATTTACTTACAATAGACTTAATATACTGAGACAGTAATAATTTCCAGGCTGGTAATTTACAAGCAAGCAGATCTGTTTTGCTTTGATTTTCTTTCCAGGTAGATCCATTCCATAAGATGGACTCAATAAAACTCAGTCACTTGTAAAAATTGAATCCTATCTCCATAAGACATTTTTTCTTCACATTTGTAAGGAGTTACTGATGTTATAAATGTAATGTTGTCAATGCAAAAAAAAACCAATCTTACTAGTTTTCAGTAAAACTGGACATAAAATTTTCCTGATTTGAAAGGGCTTTTTTTTCCTTTTTTAATTGCTCCCAAATGGCAGGAGAAAATGTTACTATCAAAACCTGTGCAAACTCATAACCAGGAGAAAAGTAAATAAAATGAGAACAATCAAATTATAGAATCTTAGAATATCCTGAGTTGGAAGGGACCCACAAGGATCATCAAGTCCAACTCCTGGCCCTGCACAGGACACCCCAAGAGTCACACCATGTGTCTGAGAGCATTGTCCAAACACTTCTTGAACTCTGGCAGGATTGGTGCCATGACTACTTCCCCAGAGAGCCTGTTCCAGTGCCCAACCGCCCTCTGGGTGAAGAACCTTTTCCTAATATCCAGCCTAAATGAATATTTATAAAGAATTATTAATAATTATAAAGAATGAAAATCATGGTTGTGATGTTTATATCTTGTGAGGAGGTGATTGGTTACGTGATGACCTTGAGTGGCAGCGTGGATGGAGGGTCCTGGGACTTGGTGCGGAGAGTGGTGGGAAGTGCAGTCTGGACATGGAGCATCACAGAGCAGGTGGGAGGGAGGTTGAAGGGCTAATGCTGATGAGTCCAGGGGCTTGGAGGGCTGGGGGGAACCAGTGAGGAAGAGTGAATGTGGATGACCTGACCTGAGCCTGAAAAAACCCTGTGCAACCTGAAAGCCCCATTAAAACATTGAATACAAACACTAGGAACAAATTTACTGCGCAAGGAGATGCTGTTATTATCAAGTCACTTTTCAGGCTGGACCCTGCTCTTGGGACAGTTTAAGTCAGTGTGGCAGATCAGAGTGCAGGAGGTGATGCTTCCTTCAACAGCCAAGACTGACAGTGGCACCACCTGCCATTTTTTCCATATAGCTACCCTTCAGGAAGGATGAGGGAAGTAACGAGGAGCAACTGAGGCAGGAAGTGCTAGAGGATACAAGTTAGACCTATAAAATATGAATTGTTTCAATAGTAACAGACCAAATGTATTCATTTTCCATTAATGCATGCTATTCTTGAGATAGCCCTTGTCTGCTAGAAGAGGAACAGAAAGGCTCTCTAAAGGATTTCCCCAGCTTTCATTAAATAAATGCCCACTACTAAAGATTTTCTTCCCTCTCCTCTCTGTTCCCCTTCCAGAAGTAGATATGCACCAGCTGTGGGAACAGGCATCCCTCAGCTGCTCCACGCACCTTGAAAGCAATCTTTCTTCTACATCCTTTCCTCCCACTTGGGACCTGCGCACTGTCAGGTTTAGGCATTGAGATTTGAGTACTGTTGAGCAAAACTATCAATATATTCTACCTACTGTTTTCCCTGACTGCACTGTGCAGTGTTAGTACAATTTCATTAGATGTGGCATCATAGAAATAGCTGGGGAAAAAATGAGCATCTTCCTACTAGAAGCAATCTCAGCTGCCTAGATAAAAAATCTGTGCTATCCTTTCAGCTTCTCAAAGTTACTGTGGAGGTTCAGCAGGCCCCCTTGATTTAGAGAAAGTTGGGTTCTCGGGGCAAGCTCTGCTCCCTTCATTCAACTCTTCCCACCACCTCTTCTACCAGATATACAGTTTATCACACAAAAGGCCAAAAGTCCAGGTTTTCATTTTGACAGAAATGCTTTTGCTTAGGAGTTCCCCTGCTTGTAGCCTCTTTAGACAATGAGGCAATGATTCTGCTGCTGTCATGATACTGAATCAGCAAAATGTGCTTAGCAATTCCCCCTTGTTTCATTTTAGTTTTTTCCCCTTTTATTTTTTCTAGTACTTGTACTAGCACTTCTAATGTCTTATTATTTTATTAGGAGCAATTCAGGTTTCACAGCAGATATCTCCTGATTGATCCTTTTTGGCTTTCTTTTCTGTTTTAACCAGCCCTCTCTCCCATTGATGTCTAAGGGATTGCTGCTGCTCTGTGAAATTGGACGCTGCTCCCTCCTCCAACCCCTTGACCCCCAGCAGTCATGAAATGTAATTAATGAAATGAGATGAGACAGCCCTGAGTGCCCTAAGGGGCAATGGGAACCTGCTGTGGTTACAAAAGTGTATGATTTTAATGCCTCATGATAAGAGCTAGGACAAACAAAAAGAAATAATTACTATAGAGCAGGTCAGGGAAACTTTCTGCCTTCTATGACCCTTTGTTTCACAGGGTCTTTTCATTCTTCAGCCTTTGTGAGATGGGGAAGACCAGAGGTAAAATTTAGCATGGACAATCATAGTGCAAGCAGATTAGTTGTTCAGTATGATGAGACACAATTAACTTAGTTAATTACTTGGCAGACATAGGCAAAAAAAAAAAAAAAAAAGAAAAGCCTTAGAGTATTTCCAGTATGGACTAGGACAAATTTCCTTTGATTTATTTCATATATGCTGTCTTTCTTTTGTAAAAATGTGCCCCTACCCCAATCCCAGTGGAATTCCTGAATCACTTATGTGAGCAGACACAGTCCTTTTTCCAGAAAGCTCTTTGAAACTCATCCTGGTGAGGATTAGAGGCTATATGCCTTAAGTGACTTGTCATGAAGCAAGCCAGTATAAAGGCCAGGTGATTTTCCAACATGCGTGTAATTTACTGTAGTCTTAAGTTAATTATAAAGTACTGTTAAAGTATTTTACAATAATGCCATTAGACTAAGTAATATACCAACATAACCAAAAATTATCTATAGCCAAGCTTTGAAGCACAGGACTGTGATCCTCCAAAGATTTGAGTGTATTCTTAGCTACAGCCCATGACCCTGTTTAGGTGATATGCATTTCCCATAATGCATAAAGTTACGTGGGTGCAAAAGTCTGCAAAAATGAGAAGGATGAGAGGGAATAATAACATGCAACAAATGAACAGTATGACACACACTTCATATTCATCTCATGGTTCTCTGGGGAAAGTCCTACCATAGCAATCCAGATGTTGCCTATTGGGATTTTTGTGGGCATCTTAATGGAGACAAACTTGAGGAAAATACTGCTATTTAGGAAAGTATTGCAGTGAGCTGGTGGCAGAGAAATCCTTGCATGCATCACCTCTGGGAAAAGGGTCTCCTGTTGTTGAGAAGCTGACTAATCCCTACAAAATAAAAATAAGCCCCCCTCCCAAAAAAAAAGGATAAAAATGAAAGCTGTACCTCTCTGACATGTGACTGAGCATTCAAACCCTGATTCTCTTTCTTTCTGTCTTTCTTTCTTTTTCATTTTTTTTTCTTTTTATTTTACCTATCAGTTTAATAGCCTACACAGAGCAGTATGTGGAATATGACCCTTTTATAACTCCTGCTGAGCCTTCCAATCCCTGGATAAGTGATGATGTAGCATTGTGGGACATTGAAATGAGGTAAAAATAATCGGTAGTCTCAACTAATGTTAGAGTTTTCTTGCCATTTTGTTTGTATGCTCTTCACACTGCCCTGTTTGGAAAGGTAGTTGTATGTCTGTAACTTTAAAAGGTTTAAGTACATAGCTAAAGTTTATCACTTGTGTTTGTGAATTATTCAGCCCTTCCACTTCCATACGGCTTGATGTATGGCACTCTGTAAGTCAGGTAACGGATGTTCTCATACCTCTCAAGAACACACACAGTTTCAGGTCTAGGAGCCTACAGCTATAGGATACTGCTAAGATATACTTGTTCCAGCACATCTCCTTTGATGCTTGAGAGCCTGCTCTCTGCTCCTCACCAGCTGCAGTGCTCCCGCCCTGCTTGTGTCTTGGAATCTCGTGAAAGATGCTGCTGGCAGAATAGGATGGATTATAGGGCAATGGGCTTTCCCGCTGTGCTGAAGTGGATTTGGCACAGGAGCCAGAGGAATGTCGCTCACATGTAATGTGTGAGACTTGGCAGGTCAGAATTATAGTAGATCGATAAAGTGACTCTGTTGTTCTCCTGTTGGTGAACAAGCTGGGTTTTCTCTGGTATGGTGTCTAATAGGTGGAAAGTAGGAAGAATGACTGTAGGACTTTCAGTGCCTTGCACTTCAGAGAGTTTCTCAAAAAAAACCTAAGCAAAGCACTGCAATGGAGATCATATTTTACCCATGTGATGCTGGTGCAAGGGAAGTCTGGTCTGTGTCTACATCTCTTGCCATTGCTATCCACAGCCCTCACAAAGGGGCTAAAATTGTCCTGCCTGCCACTGCAAGTCTCACAGAAGGTTTGAATGGAATCACCATGCCGCATATCACCTTCAGTTCTCAATCACATCCTGTGGCGAACTACTGCAAGGGCGCAGCAGCTTCTCCTAGTGTTTAGCTGCCGCCATTTGGCACTCAATCCGAACAGGGAGTTAGTTCACTTTAGCTGATCTTTGATAAGAGAATACTAAATCTAATTCTGTCTGTTCTTGAATAGTAATTTAAAATGAGATACACTATTGGTCCAAGAAAGCCGATTCATACTGAAGGAAAAGGGGAAGTTTTTTCCCTGCTTAAAAACCATGTGGTCTGTGATGTGAAAGATGTTTTCACCTGCTTCTCTGGTAGTCACAGAAATCCATTAGTTCCCTAACCTCTGCCCTTCTTCACGTAGTTTTAATTTAGCATTTCTCTTTTAGTTAGTTCCTCTGATTTTCTCCATCCTCCCTAGCAGGGCTAGTACCAGATACAGCTCTTGCAAAATACTGCTCTGCAGAAACCCTCACCCACAAAGTAATCCAGGCATCCATTATTTCTGCATCTGTTGAGGTAGCTGCAAATCCCAGAAAAGATGTCTATGTCCCTGAAGAATACAATTAACCTGATGTCACAGCCTTTGTAGGAATTTAAAACAAATGCTTGGCTTCTGCTGTGATTTCAGAGTTAAGGAAGGTGATTCTCCTGCCGATGAAAAAGAGAAAGTTGTATTGTTAGGAGATGGAAGAACAAACAGCTCTGTATTTCCATTTTATTCTCTATTGTAAGAGAACTCACTGCATCTGCATCTAGTTGCAACTTGCATGAATAATTAAATGATCCCCGCGATCCCCTTGTGTTGCCTGTGAAGCTGTTTCCTCAGTTAGGAGAGCAGAGCCCTTGCACAGGAAAACAAAGAGCCTCTCACTTCTGGTGGTAAGGCTGGCTGCTGAGTATGGGCAGCCCTGCACCACTACAGTTCATCCTTCATGGCAATCAGGACTTGGGAAATGACACGAAAAACATTCAATTTTAGACAGCACTTTGGCCTTTTTTTTTTTTTTTTTGTACTAGAACATTGTGCAGCATCAAGAAGAACAGCTACAGATCTCTGGATTCAGCGAGAAATTCCCTGAGCTTAGCTTATGCATGGCTCTGCACAAACATGGCTTTCATGTCGCAATGCTCAGGCTGGCTCACTTAACAGGTAGGCTAAGGCATCTGCACCCTTGTCTGCAGCGCTGCTGGCTCCTGGGTGAGTGCAGGAGGAGCCATCCAGAGTGTGCTGCACTTCGACTGAGGACATGCCTATCAATTCTGCTTAGCCTTTATACCAAGAGGAAATCAAAGCAGGCATTTTATTTACCCCTTTGGCTTATTTGTCTTCAGCACAGATCGCCACTGTCCCCTAAGGCTCCAGGATTAGGAATCGCTGTGGACATGACGAGACATGTAGTTTAATAGATATGTACTGTTAACAATGGCTCTACTGTCACAAACGTGAGCAGCTGAGCTGTATTTTAATGGGTGTCTCATAGTATGACGCCATCACACCAGAAGCTTTCAAACACTTTGTGAGCCCAGATTACGCTCTGATGCGGACTGTCTTTTAGGATCCTTGTTGTGATTCCCATGCACCACCTCTCCCCACAGGCATCTCTGCAACGTGTCTGGCAATTCAAACAACAGCTTATGTAAGTTGGGTTGTGTTAATAAATAATTTAGGAGAAAGGTTGTTAGTGATTTTGGGTGCCTCTGCATCTGAGTGTCCCAGCTGAGACACAAAATAGAAGTCTGATTATTGTGGAGAGTAGGAGGAAGATGCTTTTTAGTCTTCCAAGACTTAAGCATGCAAAAATCAGAGGCACTGAAAAATAATAGACCACAAACCAGGAATAATTTTTAGAAATCTTGTCTGCGCTGCTTCTTAGTGAAAGTGCTTTTTTAATGCAAATGGGGATCTGAAAATCTGAAGCCAGTTCCAAGTGACCAGCCAGCACTGTGTGGGACACAAGGAAATGCTTTGGAGCTCACCAGTGGCCCAGGGAATACTGCTAGAAAATTTCTGCCTTGGCATATAAGAAATCCTAAGGTACATTTGAGGACATACGCAAGAAATGCATAATGAATAATCATTTGAGTATGGAATGCTGTTCTTTATATGAAACCTACCAGAAATTACTCTGAAAATCAAATTATTCACTGTCTCTTTTATGTATGTAGCTATGTATGTAGCACCCAGATAGTACAGTTGCTTTAATGATGACCCTGGTCTTTATAACTTTGTTATGTTATTTGCTAACTTGTATTTCTGCAAAACCTTGAGAAAAAAACAACATCTCATCTGATAATCTTCCTCCCTTTGCTGCTTAGCAGAAACAACAGCAGCTGCTTGGACAGCAGGCAGAGATGCACATTCCATCTGTTTTTTCCCTTCTCTTTCCAAACAGCAAAGAACCTAGTCAGCAGCGTGTGAAAAGATGGGGTTTCTCCATGGATGAGGTGCTGAAGGATCCAGTAGGACGAGACCAGTTCCTTCGTTTCCTGGAATCAGAATTCAGCTCAGAAAACCTGAGGTGAAAGCTTTTTTGACTTGAACTAAATAAATGCAACCAATACTTCTCTCTTGCATAGGTGAAATGCAGTGTTTGGTCTATCTTGAACTGCTAAAAACACCCATTTGAATAAAGTTGAGAATGGAAGGATTTGGCACATAGCACTGCTATGGGTGCCTACACTAGACCTATATAAGTAATATCAGAAACAGTTTTTAGCAGAGCCAGTGTTGTCAGGTATAATATGCAAAGGCTTGCAAAGTTGAAATAATGTGATGAGACACAGCATATAGCTATTAAGCCTCATAACAATATATAGGATTTACATGTGTATTTGTGGCAACGGTTGTGTGAGGGAAACAGTATAGTGATCATGTGGCTGAACACTGTTGCAGTACTGGCACTAACTAAATCAGGTTTGCAACATCTACTTTTAATTCCAGCGCCTCCTAACTATTCAAGAGCTTGAGTCACCTTAAAAGCATTTGGTCTGTGTGGGAATTCTGAACAAGGTAGAGGTTGATGATACTCAGTGGATCAGACTCTTGCCAGCACGTGACAAAAAGCCCGATTTACTATAAGGGTGATCCATTGGGCAGTAGCAGGAAGCTGATGAGCAGCAACAGCAGAGCAAGCAAGGGAAAGCTTGAGTTGGTGTCAGCACGCCAGTCTGTGCTTTTGTACTCATTTGTGGAATCCTTAGCCTGCTCCTTAACTGAGGTAACAGAGGTAATGGAATTTGACTGCCCTAGATATGGTGGTATCCAGTAAAACCCACTTTTTTTATGGAGTCTGAATTAGGTGCAGAGGCTTTGTTATGGTGCTGTGGTTCTTTCTCAGTATATGGTACAGGGACCAGTTCTCATGCTTCCTTTGGGGCAGTCCTGTTCCAGAAGACTGAGTGAGCAATGGCAGGGATGGCCAGAGAGCTTTGGTAGCACTGGCAGAACTGTGCCTGCTCCTGGGATGCAGAAATCTGCTGTCAACTGAGCATGAAGTCAGTCAACTGACCATTGTATTTATCAGATTTGGGTGTCAAAGGGGAAATACGAAAAGCATGCCAGCAGCTAAACAGTGAAAACTCAATGCACTTTTATATTTATTGATTTTAAAAACCTGAAAGTTAACCAGTAAGATAAACAAGGGAGTGCTACTAATTACATAAATGAGCTTGGAAGTTTATTGTTGAAAAGGTACTGAACTTGCATATGCTGACTGCACTTACGTACAGTGGTGCTCATTTGCAATTAAATTGTAGTGAAGTGCAAAATTAATATACTGTATTAAAGTACTCCTCAGATGGGTGTTCTGAAGTATATCTGGGGTTGTGCCAATGAAATCCAACAGGTTTTATGACTAGCGGGTGTCCTCCACATTCATCCTACTCAAACAAATGAAGAAAGTTTCATTATGAGAAGGCAAACATGTACCTCCCTCGGTCAGTCGGAGCTGTTCCTCCTGCTGATGTTCATTCTCTTTGGTTTTGAGATGGCTTGTAGTGAAGGGAGGTGGCAAGTCAGCAGGCTAGCATAGAGAGGTTAAATCCTGCATCCTTTGTGGAAGACACTGGTATCGTTCTTAGTTAATATGGGAACTTTGCTATCGTTCTTAGGGTATCTTTATTGTGGTATCATGGTATATCATTATCATCTAATACTGGATAAGCATTAGCAAGGCTGCTTAAAGCTTTAAATAACAGAATGCAAAGGCAGAAATATTAATTAAGTAAACTGGAATAAGGATTGTTAACAGTGGTGCTAGAGAGAAGAAAGTAGCTCTGTAGGGTTCAGGTGAAGCAAAGAAAGCTCCTAAATTCTCATTAGGAATGTGTGGCATAAAGGAAAGCAACTGGATGCTTAAACATGCAAGCAAAATCTAAGTTAAACTTAACAGCAAGATTGGTTGGTATCTGTCTCACTTAAGTTTACAGCTTGGAAGCATACACTGTCTTCTGTATTATCCAGGCTCCATTTAGAGAGAGACAAGAGAAGCCAAAGAAGAATCAGTGAATCACCTGGGAAGGATTTGTTTCAGTTTTAAGTGGAAACAAAACTAAAAGGACCTAAATTACTCTGTAAAGCACTTGTCTCTTTTTACCATAAGCCTGGGGACACAGATTCAGTGACAGTGTCTGCATGGTAGACATCTACAGTGAAATGAGATACGTCCCGTCCAACTCTGGGAAGCTGTAAGGAACTTTCTGAGGGCACAGCATCTGGCACCTTGTTAGAAAAAGGACATTTGTAGTTAGTCTTTTAAGGACTCTCGCCCCAGTAACTATCCAGAGATCTGTGAACTTTTGCAGATGGGAGTGTCAGTGGGATCTTCATTAGCACCGGCCGGAGCCCTGTAGGGCCCTGTGTTAAACTTAAGGCACATGAGAAAACCTAGAAATTCCTGGTAGGACTAGAAAAGACTTCATGAAGTGTGTGCTTGAGAATGCCTTGAAATTAATGTAATTCAGTAGTATAGCAAGAGGACCAAATTCTGCTCTTATACCCAGTGGTGCAAGTCCCAAATCACAGGGCTGAATGTGGTGGGGTATTTCCATATTTTCCTAGCTGAGAAAAATTGGTCCCGGTGGGGGTCTCGGGTGAGGCATTGCAGCAGACTAGACTCAATGACCTCCCAGATCTCCTTCCAGCTGTGTTTCTGTGTTCTAATAAACTTGCAGGATCATGTCCACCAGTCTCCTGGGCTCGGCTGAGCCCTGCAACTTACTTATTTACTGGATGTCCATTATTTATGTGAGAGCAGGAAAGCCAGTCAGTTGGATATTTTTCTCTCTGTTTTTGTTTTAACTCTTTTCCTTTCCCTCTTTTATATCTCCTCTCAGTTGCTATCTTTCATCCACAATTTGTTTTGACTCTGTTGATTTTTGAAGTACCTAAAATATAGCAGACAAAATTCCAAGCTGGAAAGGGAAGGGGAAGAGAAAGGGGGAGGAAAGGTAAAAGGAAAGAAGGAAAGGGCATCAGAGAGTTATTATACATTTTTTATGACCTGGGAATCTCCTGGGATATCTTGAGATTTCTGAGATGTTCATCTAACTGGTGGATTGATTCCCCACCCTCGCCCCACCCCCCCCCAACTTCAAAGAGTGTCAGCTGGAAAGAGAAACAGCAAAGTGGGAATATTGTACATGGGAATTTCACTCAAAGGAAAAGGAGACTGCACACCTGTTTATAGACCTAAATGGGGAACACATGATGCTTTGTGGGAATGTGCTGTGGAGCTCGTGGTGCAGGGATGCAGGCGGTCTGGGCCTTATTGATTGTGAGCATATGTTGAAAACGGAGTTAGCCAGAATGGAATTTTACCTGCAAGAAAAGTGTTGATGTCTTTTCATTCATTTCATGGCTAGGCTTCGCGAACGAAGATTTGAAAGGGCTCTACCCACGCTTGCTACAAGCGCGCTGATGGCTAAAAAGGCCAATGCGAGATAGACAAGTCCGGTTGCAGAAGGCACAGCAGAAAGACTCCCCAGGTGATACAGACAAGACGCGATTCTTTCTGCGTTGTCTTTTCTCCTCGAGAGTGATCCTGCGTGTGTTCTCAAAAGCAGCAGCAGCGTTATAGATGCTGTGTCTCCAGGCCTCCCGATTGGAGGCCAGGGTAGACCAATGGTGATGATCAATATGGCCAAGGATGAGGGATTGTTTCAGGGAGTCCTTGAACCTCCTCTTCGGGGCTCCTCTCTTGCGGCAGCCAGTGGCAAGTTCCCCATAGAGTACGATCTTAGGGAGGCGGTAGTCCTGCATCCTGGAGACGTGCCCTGCCCAGCACAGCTGTGTTCTCAGCAGCATGGCCTCAATGCTCGTGACTGCTGCCTGTTCAAGGACAGACGTGTTGGTCACATAGTCAGTCCAGTGGATGTTTAGAATTGTGCGGAGGCAGCGCTGATGGAAGCGTTCTAAGAGACGCAAGTGGTGCCGGTAAATGACCCATGATTCGGACCCATACAAAAGAGTAGACAGTACAACAGCTCTGTAAACACTGATCTTGGTACTTTTCTTCAGGTGTTTGTTTTGCCACACTCTTTTATGGAGTTTACCGAAAGCTCTGTATGCCTTTGCTAACCTGTTGTCTATTTCTGCATCAATCTTACCGTCTGAGGAGATGATGCTACCCAGGTAGCTAAACTGCTGGACTGATTTGAGTTCTGTTTCACCAATGGTGATATGGGGATGATGGGAGACTTCCTGAGGCGCAGGCTGGTATAAAACTTCTGTCTTCTTCAAGCTGACTTCCAGTCCAAACAGCTCAGCAGCCTCTGCAAAGCAGGATGTTAGACGCTGCAGAGCTACTTCTGTGTGAGCAACAAGGGCGGCATCATCAGCGTAAAGCAGCTCACGGATAAGACAATTGTTTTTGTTCTTTGTTTGGTTTTGTTTTATTTGTGTGGTTGTTTTGGGTTTGTTGTGGGGTTTTTGTTTGTTTGTTTTGGGTGGGGGGTTTTTGTTTGTTTGTTTTTGTGGGGGGTTTTGTTTGTTTTGGTTTTGTGGTTTTTGTTTGTTTGGGTTTTTTTGGTTTTTTTTTTTGTGGGTTTTTGTTTGTTTGTGGGTTTTTGTTGTTGTGGTTTTTTGTTTTTTTTTTTGTTTTGTTTTGTTTTGTTTTGTGGTTTGTTTTTTTTTTTTTTTTTTTTTCTTTCTTTTTTTCCCCCCTCTTCCCTTCTTCTTCTCCTAGTGTCTTGAGGGGTGCTCAGGGCAAGGAAGTGTCCCTGGGTTAAACTGTAGGAAGCTATGAAGGAAAAGTTGGGAGAGCAGGGCTTGACCAAACTATTTCAGTACGCCCTTATGAGGTTGCGAGCTGTGCTGGCGGTGGCATATGCCTCCGGTAGGGTCTCCCATGCCAGACAGGTCAAAACTGAAAGGTCAAATGTGTCCGTGGGCAGGATGAGCTCACTAGCCTTCCGGCAGTCATCCTAGGAGAAGGACAACTCTAATTTCAAACCCGGGCAGATGGAGCTCGTTTAGCCCTGTAAGGCCATCCATCCAAGAGAAGGATACTCTAATCAAACC